CTCGAAATAGATTTCATTTTGACAAGTTATTGTCAACCGGCCTATTTCTACATGCTGTCTACATTCTTTCAGTTTACGCTCTCTCTTAAAATGGAGGTCACTTCAACATTTATAAACCAAATTTTCTTGACGTATCTTGAAATGTCTTGCCCTGAAACGAGGAGATTGCCTCAAGGACAGCTTGCTCCACCAAATGCAAACACCAACTGGCCAAATGGAATCCGCCGTTAGTAACGAATTTCATACTTTTACGCAAAAGTGCCAAGCATAGCACAATCAGATGAATGGCCAACCTAAATAGTCATTAATACTTGATTGTTTCCATTTCGGTCTCACTGGAAACCGAAGGATGATTGCAATTTATGGAAGACTGTTGTTGTGTGCAAAGAAGTCTTAGGCTTATCCTCCTCCGACCCCTAATTTATTTTTTTTGTAACGCTGTGACAGGCATCATCCATACTTTACGAAATAGATGAAAAATTACTAAAACAAGAGAAAAGGTGACCGGCTGCAATCCTATACGCTTTTTTATATGCCTAACCTCGCGATCTTAATTAATCATCTCACGGTTTGGTTAACTACCTCAATCCTTCTCTACATGTTTGCAACAGAGTGAAGTTAATGCTTGAACAGAAAGTGAATGCACTGGCAGATGTTTCCTTGCCTAAATAAACTGGCATTCCATCTTATAATGTTGATTCATATTTGGGCTATTGTCTTTTGTGTGTATGCAATGTTCATGTCATGAGAGGTGTGCTAGTCTTAGCTAGACTCGAGGCTAATACAGCCTCCAATGGATCTTATTCTCTCCTCTCTTCTTCTTAAGCCTATCAAATAGCCAAAAATAGTTGCTAATCAGCTTTGTTCCTCCTATTCAGGACGTTGGCTATTTTGTTAATTTTCATAGATTCCCTAATCTTGCGCTTAAATGCCAAGTCCCCATAATCAACAAAGCATTGGACTCTCGACCAGTCTATGGAGTGTCCTCCATTGGCGAGCTCAGAGTTTTGAGCCCATGGATCTTTACAAGCAGTTGTGTCTTTTCTGAATGGGTCTGCAGGTCTCCCCCACAAACATTGCCACATGAGTACAAGACCTTATAGCAGCCTGATATAGAGATAGGGTCGGAAAATTCTCTAAACCAACGAACTACTGAAGAAAGTATTAATTTCTCTTGAAATATTGTTTTGATTTTCCACACCTGGTAGATCACGCAACTTTTTCACAAATTGACAGGAGGGCAAAATCAGGAACCGATTTGAATGATTCAATT